GCGAGTACTCGTACTCGCCCAAATGCTCCAATACCTTCCCCAATACCGGTCAGGGGAAGATTTCCTCTGACCGGCAGTGCCGTAGGGGAACATGGAGGCAGCTTCCCGGGCAATCAGGAAGCTGCTTCCTGATTGGCCGTGAAACCGGCTTCCCAGTCAATCACAACCGAGCTGGCCAAATAACATGGATCTGGTTTCCTGGAGCAATCGGGAAACCCGGCGGTATGTCATTGCCCGGGAAGCCGGTTCCATGCCAGCGGTATTGGATAGTACTGAAAGCAAAATATCGGCACTCGATACCGAAAAAAACGATATTGGTGCATCCTTAGTTTTAATACAGAGTGTCTTTGGTTATTTGCAATGTTCTGCTTTTTACATTTGAGTAATGAGTCTGAGGAAGCAATATCATGTGGAGGAGCCTGGAACACAGTAAAGATTAACCCTTTGTGTGAACAAAGTGCTTTTGACCAGACTAATAATGCTTTCAGTGGATCGGGGATGCATGGAGGTTTGTTCTCAATGAAGTGTTGATATACGGATATTTGCTTTTTGGATACAGTAAAGTAAGCAAAGTGGTTATTGTTCTGTGAATCACACTATACAGGACAAATTTCACACAGTGGTTGTTATTTTGGACATTTGCACGAAACTGCTGCACAGTGGAATTATAATTAGACTATTTTTATTGTTTCATTCATGTGTAGATGTGTGATACACATTTGTCATAGCAGAAATTTGCACAGTTGGGCACAGTTTGCATTGATGTAGCACTCAATATATGGTAATAAATATTGTAGGATATGTTATGCGATTATTTGGTAATTAGTGCTGCGCTAACATCACAGTAGTCTGTGTCTAAAATAGTCACTTTTAAGTGTCAGCAGCCTAGCTCTGCGAAAAAGGATCTGAGCGCAAAATGGTCTTTATATTGTTATATATATCGTATGGGTTGTGTATATACTGCAGCGACTGCGGGTGCACCATATTTCTCTGAACTGGTTACCTGATAGTGACAATGGTAGACCATAGCTACAAAATGTTTGTCAGCATGAGGGGCACATGTAATACTGTGACAAAGCAGGAGTGCAAGTTGTCACCTCATAAAAGGAGGTGCCTGGACAAAGAGCTTCATGCCAGGATCACTAGGCATTACTTTAATTCAAAGCTGCATATTTGGAAAGGTTAAAATTTACTTTTGAAGATATGTTAAGGCTTATGGAAGTTTTTGGTGATTGGGTATACTGTAGATCTACTTCAACCTAATCCTTGAATAAACGCTATCCACCCCTCTTTCCTCAATTAGTCTCAACCAGACTGAAATTAACTTCTTAACGTTTTCTTTATCATGTCCTCAGCGTGGGCGTGGCGTAAGCGGCGTCGCGTGAGCGGGTATACCAGCGTAGGCGCGAGCGGCTTAACCGATGTGGGTGTAAGCGCCGTGCAGCGGCGGGCGTGAGCGGGAAATTTGAATTTTAGCCGACGAATCGACGATGGAAAACGTTGACAACGTTTTCCATCTTCGATTTTAATTGACTTAATCGAATAATTGTTGCAGCTCTAATTGTAGCCCTTTACCTACTGCATACCACTAGATTAAAGGAGAACTCCTTAGGGTAACGGGAGGACACAAACTAGCGTCCTCCCGTCACCCTAAGCGAGCTACAGCTCGCGGTATACTGAGACGCCGCAGCTGAAGCGGATCCCGACAATTACGTCTGGATCCGCCCAGCTGCGTGAGTGACAGCTGGCTCTGCCTATCTGGAGGCAGAGCCAGCTGTACCCGACCCCCTCCCCGTCCGTTCCGCCAGTCAGCGCTGGAGGATCGGGGACGCTGGAATCGAGCCCCTCCCCTTTCATGGCAGAGAGCCGTGACAGGATCGAGAAGTGAGCGAACGCAGATATGTGTTCGCTCACTTCCCGATCTACTTAGCCGACCTGGGACAGTCTCATTGTCACAGGTCGGCTAGAACTATGAGGTGAGTGAAAAGCACTCGCCTCATAGTTTTCCTTTAACCCCTAGAACTGTATCCATACTTAGGATTATGGCTCTGCTAATAATGTATCAGTGAAACACAAGTCTTACTACTGCTTCCATTACTTGGTGAATCAGAGACTGATGGATAATCATTTTATATCTAAAAATTCACCTCACTTCTAAGAAAAATCAGAAACTGCAGATATGTTCCAGCCCTTCCGTGTTATTACATAGATGACTTCCAAAAATTGCCATTTTTAGTCTACTTGGAATTTGTTAATTGCAGATGTATCTGTGTTCAAGGTTATATAAATCCATGGACGAATTATGGAAGGGGAAAAGTGGCATTTAGAAGGATCTTATGATGAACCCTTTTACATTTGATTAAATTCCAACGTACCTGGCAAGATAATTTTCATTGAGATCATTTTGGAGCTACAGGCAGACATTAAAGCCAAATAGTAAGAAAACAAAGAGCATTCAAAGTCAATAAGTATTCACAAATGATATTTATAGCGTAAATATGACACTAGCCATTGTGTTTGTACCAGCAACTTTACTTCCCAGAAATATAACCATGTTGCAATGTTTTATTTATTTTTTGTTCTGAAGGTAGTGCCATAATTTTTTGGCAATCACTCTGATGAATCAGCATATTTTGCTTTCAGTACATTGAAATAAAATCAAAGTGCTTTGCTCACAGAATTTGAAATAAACTTTAGAAGGCATAAAAATACAAGGATGACACATAAAAAAAGCAAAATAGACGCCTCAGCAGAATGCAGGAATGTCAATGCTTGAGAATGGGATGTGAATCATTTCTGTTTAGTCGAGACATTCTTCAGGATTTGCAGTACTTCCAGCTGGGGATAAAGCAGATGGCCTCCCTCCTGCTTTCAAGTTTCACTTGCTGCTAATGTGTTGCACATGTAAATAATACTCTGCATGAAAGGTCTGTGGGCCAAAGGAGAGGAAGTACTATGACAGCTTGTCTTGTTTTGATACATAGCATTGCTGAAAATAGTATCTCTGTAATGAAGCTGCAATCCTTTTATCTGTGTATTTACGATCTTACTTTGTGTACCTCCTGTAAAGAGCTGTCATTACTTATATTAGACAATGTTAGTGAAGGGTGGCTTTGCACATAATTGAGTTACTCCAGTAAGAAAGACGTCGCACTTCTCTTTACAAGTGTGCTGCTCATAGTAGAACACTAACTTTTTTAAAATTCAGTTTCAGCTGATCTTGGTTTATTTAAAGAGCAATTTCAGGCAACAAGTTAAAGCAATTGGTAAGCTACTAATGCTTAAGCAGAAAATACCTGCACATTATAATGTATAATCATAACTTAAAGGGGATCTCCTCCTATAAAAATGAAAACAATCTTAAAAAAAAAAAAAATCTAGCATATTTAGTTGTTGCACAAACCATTTTGTAGTTTAATGTTTTTGAAAATGAACTTTCCATTTAAAACTGTAGCTGCTGTAATGTTCTAAATCTGTCAAAAAAATGAAATACAATATTGTTGGTATCCTTTGCAATAGGAATTTAATTTTTGGTAAGATACTCCATTCGCCACTCTAGTTCCCATTCACACCTAAACATTTTGTGTACACGCGTGAAACTTGCAAAAAATGCACGCTTTGATGCACATTCACAAAATGCATAGAAAACACAATGTGCCTGCCATTACCAGTTAATGGCATCCAAAACATGTCTGGGGGAAAAGCGTGTTTTTGTTTTTTTTCTCTGGGTTTGCACGGAATGCGTGTTGCAGATTTTTCTACATGCATTACTTTTCCATATTTGTTGCGCATTCAGGACCCCAATGTGAGCAAATGCAAGGCACGTTTGTGTTCCACTCAGATGTAAATTGAGCCTAATGGTTAATTACTGCTAAATGGATGCAGACACTGCACCTTTCCCTATTACAACACAGGAAACCCACCAGCTAGTTATAACGAACCCAGAATGTACTTCCAGAGGCTTATGACCGTTCATGACCGTGAGAAACCTATTCGTATTGGCATATGAATATATGGCTTTCTGTGTATGACTGTGTCAGTTACTGGCATGTGGAACATATCTGTATAAGGTCATTGGTAGAGAATGACCGAGAGCAATAAACACCATATAAACACCATATATAAAATATTTGTGGGAGGAACAAATGTTTGCTTCTAATTGCTTGCAAAAGATCAGTCTCAGACTTTAAAAATATCTTCCAAAAATACTTTATTAGACCAATATTTTTAAAGCCTACCACCTTATTTAAGGGACAATTAAACCCTCACAGTTTTTGCATATATCTTCTGCTAGCAAGCAGTAGATATATGCAAAAACATTCTTTTTAAATAAAACGTTAACAAAATGTTAAAACTTACCTGTGTCTCCACCGCTCGCTCCCGCCCGAAGATTCTCAAACGGCCGCAAAGGATCATGGGGTGGGCACATGCGCAGTACAGGGAGAAGAGGAGAGACACAGGGTAAGTCAATGCACGCAGCCCTGCAGAGTGCACCTGCACAGACACCGGTGGATCAGAGACCAGTGCTGGAGGGACTGCTGAAAACTACTGGAAAGAGGCATTATTAAAGCAAGTCCTTAAAGCAGCATTAAGGGGAAGAGTTTTTGACTTTAATGTCACTTTAAAACATCTAAAATCAATGTGCCACGCTGAGGAGTGATTGACTACAAATTTGTATTTAAAAAGTAGAGATACTCTTAGCTTAATGAGTTGTTTCCTAATGTAAATCACCATAAATTGTCAAAGTATTGCTGGATGAATATCACAAATATATCTTGTGTCACAGGGAAACATATTCCCCACAATATGTTATGAGATGTCCTCCAAACAGCATTAAAAGGGCAGCATTCGCACTACAAATCCTGTAAGGATTCAAAACATCTTCAGTTGCTTCAAATATAATAGGAAATCGCAAACAGTCATATTCCACAGCACTATGGTGATGTTTATATTGCAACTGTATTCTGTTCATGTTTTATATATACATTTTTCTTTTACAGGGTAACAAATTGATGGCTGTGGGTCTTGGAGTTGCAGCTGCAGCTTTTGCAGGTACAGATAATAAAAAAAATGTTTTTTCATCTTCCCATCAGTAAGTGATATTTTAAAAGGAACCTACATTAGTGGTGGGCGGTCAACCACTTCTTTTCTAGGAGCTAAAAGTGTATTTTATTGAATGATTCAGATGAAAGTAAAATACATATTTTATACAAGGTGGTGGACTTTTTCATTTGCAACAATTATAGCTGCAACTATAGTTGCTATTATTGTCTTTCTAGGCACTGTATACTTGTTTCCATATATTGCCCAAATCCCACTGCTCTCTGTGACTCTTTGAAATTAAGTTTACTAGGGGACAAACTCTTCTGACCTAATTACATTGATTGGACTGGGAGATTGCTTTCAGTAGGTATTCACCCTTAAAGTCAAGCAGATCAACTCCTATTATATTGAAACTGGTTTTAAAGAGGAAAAATTATAGTTCTGCTAACTTGTAAACATTGTATAGTGGCTGACAGGTTTGCTTTAAAAGCTTAGAAACAGACGACAAATAAGTCTGTTGAAGGCACCTACTTTTGGCTCAGTGTTGCATATAATCTTCAGTGAGGTTTAGAATGTCATTTAGACTCAAGTGTAAAAAAACTCAAACTAAGATCTAACCAGACATCCTTTTGATTACACCTTTATTTACAAATTGTACAGACTGCTTATTGTAAAGAAAGGCTGTTTGACCCAATGTTCTAGGTCACCAGGCCCTGTTGCCTGCTGTCTGTAAAGGGGCAGATCACCTTCTTCACTTCAAAGCTAGTGAAGATGGCATTTAAAAGGCCATCCAATCTCATCCTGCATCAGACTGAACTCAGTGCAGTTACATCTGCTCCTCCATATATTGCTTTTAGAATTTATTGCACCAAGTGAGCAGTGGATTCTGTGTGTGTACCTGCCCTTGATTGTTCTGTTTAGTTTATTGTAAAGATACTTTGCACTGTGCAAGTGGGGTTATGGTGACCTCATAAAGAGAGCCAGCTATAGCTAAGTTATGAAAAGAATCAGAATAGGAGGTCTTAATCTATGATGTGCAATATCTCAACTGTCTACAGCAACTGATCCCTCAGGTTGTCCCCCGACCAAGCAGGTTTTGTTCTTGGGAAGGAAGCTCAAGACAACAGCATCAAAGCCATCAACCTCCATTACTGGGCAAAGACTAGGAAAGTTACTCCCATTTTTGCTCTCTGCAGACACAGAAAGGGCATTTCACAAGGTTGCCTAAGACTACATGTCAGCCTCGCTTTGTCACTAAGGTCTGAAAGACAAGACGTTCTCCAGAATACTGACACCACTTCAAGGTTGAGGGCCAATAGATACCTGTTGGATGTCTTTTGTAATGGTTTTAGACAGGGTTGACCAATATCTCCTTTATAATGTATTATACACCTAGAGCCCTTGTATGCCTGGTAAGAAGTAATATGAACATACACAGCCTTGCTACCCACTTCAAGGAATACAAAATTGCAGAGTTTGCTGATTTTATTTATGTTTTTTTATTGTTTTTTTAAATCCACTGTAAGCCTTGAACAAATTCAACTAACGCTTGAACTTTTAAATTAACTATTCAAAATCTGTCGCCCTTAACCTCAACTTGCCCTCGGAAATGGTCACCATCTGCAAAACCATCTTTCCTTTTCTCTGGGATCACACAGCGTATTCGTGTATCAGACTACTTGCTAATCCATATTTATTCATTTTACTCGCTAAACTTACTCAAATACAGTAACACTTTTGCAACTGGGATAAAACAAAATTCTCATCGTTTGGTAGGGCTGCCATCTTTAAAATGAATGCCATACCAAGGCTCCCATACATTTTCCCGAACAATACCCATTCATCTTCCCACTACCTTCTGCCGTTTAGGCAACGTTTCGCCCGTTCCTCAGGAACAACAATCCTCTCAGAATTATTATACTCACCCGCACAGCACCCTTATTCTTTCATGTTCTATTGATAATTTATGCTCATCTTTTTGAAGCACTCTCCCCAAAACACATTCCCTTCTTTCAGAAATGGAAAGCTGATTTGCATGGCACCTTACAGTAGAAGAATAGTAACATATGACCACTTTATCAGTTATAGGATCCATTAATGTTAGTCCAAGAAACAAATTACAAACTATGGTCCAGGTTGTATTGCACACCCCTAGTAAATCACCACTTTTTTACGGACATACCAGACACTTATTGGACATGCCACAAGGTTTCCATTTCTTTCTTTTTGGTGGTGTTGAACCTGATCCAGCTGTTTTAGCTAGACGTTTATCATCTAATTAGCGACCTCACCAATCATACCCTAAACGTACCCTGCACAATACCTGTTTCATCATACCGACATGCCAATCAAACAATGCAAACATTTTCGCATACACACCTCTGAATTTTGCAAAATCCCTCATTCGGCAACGTTGGAGAACACCTCATTCCCCAACAATGCAGGAAAGCTTTCCCATATTAATACAGAAGCCCCATGAATGAATTGATTTCATAGCAGTCAAGACAATATGTCCTGTTTCTTTAAATTTTATTTTAAATTTTGTTTTTTTTAACTTTAATGTAAGGGATTTTGGGGGATTTTGGGGGATTTATCAAAGCAGTTGCGACAGTTTTAGCCTTTTTTTATGTGCAAATCTGTTTAGCCGCTCCTTTTAACATGCGCTTCCACTATTTTCTCGAGTGCGCGTGTTTCGCGAAAGTTCGCAACTGGTTACATGTGTGCTTGTCCTGCGGCTGTCTGAAACTGGAGCATCACCTAACAAAACAGTCGCAACTTAAAAGTCCCCATGATCACTTCTTCAAGAAGAGACAGTTAAGCTTTTTGCCTGGATTTGTGAGTCTTTCTTTCCTGGGGTCTTTTTAATCTAATTTACGAACAACATTACACTAGCAACATAAATCTGGCGCAAAGTGCATCAAATATATTCAGTGCAAGTTCAACACTCACAATTGCTATCATAAATTTCCCCCAATCTCATTTTCTGCAGCCCCAGCACCAATCAACAGGAAGGACTCAGTACAGAGACTTCCTGTTCATTAAAAAAGCGAGGAGATAGTAAACAGATACTATGACCACAATCATGAATGGGCAGGAAGTGATGTAGAGCACTTCCTGTTCATTCATAATTGAGGACACAGTATTTGAATACTATGTCCTCAATTATTTACAACCATCGTAGTGATCTGTACTGATCATTGCAATGTTTGAATATTACAGGGAATGATCAGCAAATGTCACATATTTGCTGGTAGTCCCCCAGCTCTCCTTCCCACACTGCCCCGCTCGGCCTCCTAACAGCTCTCTCTTCCCTGCTAGGCATCGGCATGT